ATTTGGGGGCAGTGGAGTTTAGTGGGATGTAGGATGAGGGGCTTTAAGGGGGTCACGATGTAGGGGCTTTGAGGGTTTGGGGGGGGGGCACAGAGCAGGGGGTAATGGGGTGAGTTGGGGGCATTGAGATGGAGGTCGTGAGCTGGGGACACTGGGATTTAGGGGACACGGGATCGGGGGGTTTATGGGGGACACGAGCTGGGAGCTTTATGATTTGCAGGGTGGGGGGGGGTTATGGGGAGAGCAAGGGGGGGGGCCTGGGGGTTTTGGGGGCCCGTTTAGTTTGGGGGGGGGGGGCCGCAGCCCCGGATGGGGGGGGCATGCAGGATTCACGGTGTGGATAGGAGATGGGGGGGGTCTGTGGTGGGGGACACTGGAGTGCTTTGGCGGGGGGATGACTGTGCCCCTCCCCCCCACAGGGAAAGGGGTGGGGGGGATTTGGGGGTGCCGGCTCCCCTCTGTTGTTACCTTGGGGGTGGGGGACCCTTTTCCTATGCGAGGGCATTGCTGGGGTGCAGCTCCTGGTGGGGTGGGGGGGGTGCGATGCAGAAGGAGGGGAGCCTGCGTCCCCCGAGGGTCTGGTTTGGGGTCAGAGCGGTGTTCTGCCCCCCCTTTAAGGGATGTGGGGTTTTGGGGGGCTGAAAATGGTAAAACCAGTCACGATAGAGCAGAGCGGCTGCATTTGGTGGCGCAAAGAGGATTTGGGGGATGGCAGAGTTAAAGCCCCACGTGGCAGCCAACCCCCCCCCCCCCTCCCAACCCCCCCCATAGCCATGAAAACAGCTTTGGTAGAGCTCCAAAGGGGAGAACCCGAAGGGGAGAACTCGGGGGGTCCCAGGGAGGAGCAGTGGGGGCTGACCCAACCCCCCCCTCCCCCAATGTGGGGTGGTGGAGATCATCGGATCGTAGGGCAGCCCCAGTTGGAAGGGGCCCATAGGGTGCATCGCGGGGAGGGGCTCTGCCCCGTGCCTCAGTTTCCCCACTGGGGGGCTGTGCTGGGAGCACTGGGAGCACTGCGTGTGTGTGGTGAAAGCACTGGGGCTTTGGAGGAACCCGAGGCGGTCACCCCATAGCGCCCAGCCTGTGCTCCCCAGTCCCCCTCAGTGCCCCTACATTGTGCCCTACTCGCCCCCCCCATTCTGTCTCCACGCTCATCTCACTGACCCCATAACCCCCCCACCCTGTCTGAGGGGGGCAGCAGGCGGATTTGGGGTTGGTAGGGGAATTCGGGTCGCATTTTCCCACCTTTCTCCACACGTTGGATTGGGTTTGGTGACCCCAATGGGTCCCTTCCCATATTTGATGACCTCACTGACCCCAATGGGTCCCTTCCCATATTTGATCACCTCACTGACCCCAATGGGTCCCTTCCCATATTTGATGACCTCACTGACCCCAATGGGTCCCTTCCTGTATTCCAATGAACTCATTGATCCCCGTGGGACCCTTCCCATATTCAGTGACCTTATTGATCCCAATGGGTGCTTCCCTTATTTGATCCCAATGAGTCCCCTCTCATATTTGATCACCTCCGTGATCCCAGTGGGTCCCTTCCTGCATTCAATGACCTCATTGATCCCAATGGATCCCTTCCTACGTTCGGTGCCCTCGCTGAACCCAGAGGTCCCTTCTCGTACTTCATCTACTCGTTGATCCCAGTGGGTGCTTCCCAAATTCGACGACCCCATTGATCCAAACGGATCCCTTCCAACATGGGAGGCTCTGTGAGCAGGGCGACGTGGCGGTGTGCGTTCCCAGGATGGGAATTGCAAAGGAATGAATCTGGGATAACGATGGCCGTTCCTCGGCGCCCCTCAGCCCCTCGTCCCCATTGTCCCCATTGTCCCCAGATGACCCGGCCCCAATTAACCCCATCGGATCCCTCACTGCCAGAGAGTTCCGCCCACGTGGGATCCGTGTGTGACTCATCAGTGCTGTAATTAAGACGGGGCTGTAATCACTTGGAGCAGCTCCGATGGTCTTCTCCTTCCCCTCCTCCCCCCCCCCTCTTTTTTTAATATTATTATTTTGTGCATTTTGGTTCTGGCCGCCATCTGGTGCCGAATGGCTCTTCTCACCACGCGCTGTGTGCCGCCATCTGCACCAATTAATTGTCCCATTAATTGCAAAAAAAAAAAAAAAAGAAAAAAAAGAAAAGTGTGAAGAAGCCCAAACATGGCCCTGCATCCAGGGGAGCTCCCAGATCCGAATTGTGCCACCAAACAGCTCAGAGCTGGCTGCTGAGATCCATGGGGTGGGATGGGATGGGATGGGATGGGATGGGATGGGATGGGATGGGATGGGGATGGGATGGGAATGGTTCTCAGCCCCATGGCCTCAGCTCTGCTTTCTTTTTCCCCACAGCTGACGGTGTGACCCCAAGTGCCACCGAAGGACTGGGACATCCCCAACCCAACAGCGGTCTGCGGTGCTCAGAGCAAACCGTGAGTGAGAAGTGGGGGCCCCCAGAGCGCCCTGCAGCATAAATGGGGTGGGATTGGGGGGGTCAAATCGGGTGAGCTTCAAGGACCCTTCCAACCCAACCATCCCGTGGTTCTGTGATCTTTAAGGGCCCTTCAATTCAGTCATTCCGTGGTTCTGTGATCTTCCAGGACCCTTTCATCCCGACTCTGCAACAATCCTATGATCTTTCCAGGATCCTTCCAACCCAACCATCCTATGGTTCTGTGATCTTCAAGGATCCTTCCAACCCAACCATCCTATGGTTCTGCGATCTTTCAGAACCCTTTCAGCTCAGCCATTCTATGACCATTGAGGTCCCTTCCAATCCAACCATCCCATGGCTTTATGATCTTTCAGGACCCTTCCAACCCAACCAGTTAATGTTCCCATCAGGACGTTCCCATCCAGGCTTTCCCATCAGGGTGTTTCCATTTGCTGTTCCCATGCGGATGTTCCCATATGGATGATCCTATCAGGATATTCCCATCTGGATATTCCCATCCAGCTGTTCCCATCTGGATCTTCTCATCGTGATCTTCCCACCCAAGTGTTCCCATATGGATGATGTCCTATGGTTCTTCTCATCCATGTGGATGTTCCCATCACAGTTTTGCCATCATGGTGTTCCCATATGGATGATCCTATCAGGATGTTCCCATCTGAATGTTCCCATCCAGCTGCTCCCACATGGATGATGTCTTACGGTTGTTCTCATCCAGGTCTTCCCATCCAGGTCTTCACAACAGGATTTTCCCATCCAGGTGTTCCCATGTGGGTGTTGCCATCATGGTGTTCCCGTATGGATGTTTCCCATTCCCAGGTGTTCCCATTGAGGTATTTCCATTTGGGTGTTCCTATATGGATGTTCCCATGTGCATGTTCCCATCTGGATCTTCTCATTGTGGTCTTCCCATCCACGTGTTCCCATATGGATGATGTCATATGGTTCTTCTCATCCAGGTGTTCCCATATGGATGTTCCCATGTGGATGTTCCCATGTGCATGTTCCCATGTGGATCTTCTCATCACAGTCTTCCCATCCAGGTGTTCTCCAGATGTTCCCATCAGGATATTCCCATCAGGATGTTCCCATTGCAGCATTCCCATCCGGTGCAGCCCCTGGGTTTGGTGTAGGAGCAGGGTGCCCAGGAAAAGTCCCATTTATTGAGGACCCCCCTGGTTGGTGACCCACGCCCTCTCCAGGCCGCGTTCCTCGCCCTTTTCAACCTCTTTCCGAGGTTCAAAAAGATTTTCCTGCAGTTCTCTTTCTGTCCCACCTCAGGGCAGGTGGTGGCAGTGATGGCCACCAGGACGTAGTGACAATGGTGGATGTCACCCATCTGCGGGGCGAAACGCATCCCCGAGGCGTCCCTCATCAGGTGCTCGTCCACCTCTTATGGAGGCACTTTGCTAATGGGAGGCAGTGGGGGGAGCAAAGGATGAATGCAGGAGGGAGGAGGGGGAGCGCAGCCCCCAACAGCAGTGTGAGCTCCCAGGGGTGTGTGAGACCTCAAATGGATGTGTGAGACCCCCAGTGGATGTGTGAGACCCCAAATGGGTGTGTGAGACCCCAAATGGGTGTGTGAGACCTCAGATGGGTGTGTGAGACCCCAAATGGGTGTGTGAGACCTCAAATGGATGTGTGAGACCTCAAATGGATGTATGAGACCCCAAATGGGTGTGTGAGACCCCAAATGGATGTGTGAGACCCCAAATGAATGTGTGAGACCCCAAATGGCTGTGTGAGAACCCAAATGGATGTGTGAGACCTCAAATGAATGTGTGAGACCCCAAATGGGTGTGTGAGACCCCAAATGGGTGTGTGAGACCTCAAATGAATGTGTGAGACCCCAAATGGATGTGTGAGACC